AGTTCTTGGTGGGGTAATAGCATATCAATTCTAGTGTCTGAACAGTCAATATGAACATATTTGCTCATGGATTTTAAAAACGAACCGGTGACTGAACTGGTCAGGGGTTCGGTTACCGGTTCGAACGATCCGACCGTTCGACCCGAATGGCTAGTCCGTTCTGACAAAAATATAAAAAATTTAAAAAAATTAAAAAATTGGAAAATGGTTAAAACCGTTCGAACGGTTTGAACGGTTAATCGGTTGGCTCAGCGGTTTGTTGACCAAAATCAAAGGTTTTGAGGGAAAAAGTGGTTTTGGAGGAAAACGGAACCAGTCAGGTGACCGGTTCCTGATTTTTCCAGTCCAACCATCCGGTCCGATTTTGAAAACAGTGTATTTGCTTGCAGTTAATTAGTGCTAATTTGAAAGCAACTTGCTCTTTGTCAACATTTCATTGTTCCTTACCAAGTACAATAGTGGCATTGACAGATTCTAAACATTATTTTAAGGGGTTTTTACCGTTCAGTCCACCCCTAGGTGGAGCTAGGATTTCTATGGGTGGACTGGAATCCTACCCGTGGATTGATGCCAGATTCACGGGCAGGATGCGGTTTATAAGGAGGGGGCTACTAGTAGATTAGGAGGGGGTGCAAATCAGATTTCTGAGGGGGATTGCAGTCCAAAAATTCCTTCTTTTAAATGCTGAAAACGAGAAATCCCTTGGTTTTTCAATCAACTAATATATATATTAGTAAGATGGTCCACATCAGCATGCCTCTCCTTGCTCCATTACCCCTACCCTGCATTCTCGTTGATTCTCTCTCATTTTCCCTTCCCACCACTCCTATTAAGCCATGTCGCCATTCCCAACCCAAAAATTAATAAATATGGTTAGTAAATTACCAAAAATTAATAAACGTTGTTATTAATTAACTCATTATGACTTTTTAAAGTATTTTGGGTAAATACTATTACATTCATGTTAATTAATAACATTTTATAGAAATTGAAAACTCTTTAGCTAATTTCAATAAAATTGAGGATTATATTTAACAATTATCAAAAGTATAAAGTTTTAGTTATTGCAATTATTATAGTTAATAACCAATGCAGATGGGGGAATAAAATATTATAATGTTGGAAAATAAAATTATTAATTAATTTATATCAGAAAATAAAAGATAAATTAGTGTAATTTTGTTAGTAAAATACCTAAGGAAATTTGATATTTAATAACAATTTAAAATAATTATCAAATTTTAGTTAATGCTATTATTATAGTTAATAACCGAATGCAAATGGGGCAATAAAATATTATAATGTTGGAAAATGAAATTATTAATTAATTTATATTTGAAAATAAAAGATAAATTAGTGTAATTGTGTTAAAAACTACCTAATAAAAATAAATATTTAATAACAATTTAAAATAATTTTCAATAAATCTCCATAATTACATAAATGTAATAAAAATTTCAAAAATTTTCATAAAATAACATTTTGAAAATTAAAAGATATAAAAATTTTGAAAGTTTATTTAAAACGTATTAAATAATTATTGGAATATTTTGGAAAATTTAGGAAATTTTATTGCATTTGATAGATTTTGAAAAACTATTGAAAATTATGTAATTTTTATTATAAATTATTGAAATTTATTAAAGATAAATGAGTATGGGAAAGGGAAACTATAATTTGAACCAATAATTGTATAAATTATTAAAATAAATTAATATAATATTGGGAAAAGGAAATTATTGATTAGTTTATATTAGAGAGTATAAGATAAATTAGTGTAATTTTGTAAGTAAACCATTTAAAAAGAAAATAAATTATTTAATTACAATTTAAAAATAAATTTCAATAAATTTGAAAATTACACAAATGTAATAAGTTTTCCAAAATTTTCATAAAATTATGTTTTTAAAAATTAAAGACAATTTAGTGTACTTTTAGAAACTTACCATGTGGCTCATACTCAATATATCATTTTGTCATCAAATTGAATTGGGTTGACAAGGAGTGGGTGCATTGCCTTGAATCCACCCAACATTGGGGATGGGACGTGGAAAATTCAAGGATTCCCCATCCTTAATGAGGAATGGGTGCCTTGCCCTAAGCTCGCCCAACATTAAGGACAATGTGGGAAAATTCAAGGATTCCACGTTCCTAATGGGGAGTGGGTGTCTTGCCTTGAACTCGTCTAATATTGGAGGCAGAGCGGGGATGGGGTAGAGTGCCTTGGCTAGAGGATGGGGACAAGGATGGGGTACCCCACCTCATTTCCATTCCTATATAATTGTTAATTATTAGTGAAATTAATAAAAATGTTAGCTTTTATAATTATTTTTATTTATTTAAAGTCAATAAAAATTTCATTTAAAAATAATAAAAATAATAATAGTTATTAAAATTACTACAAATGATTAATAAAATTAAAATTATTAAAAAATATTTGTTCATATTAAATTAATAATAATTATTTTCTGTAAGTCAACATTAAATGAAAAATACAATTATTAAAATTTTAAATATTAACAATAATTTAGAATACTCTTAATTAATTAACAACAAATTTTGAATTTATCAATTAATTAATAGTAAATAAACTTATTCAGTCTTTTGGATTTTCCCATGCATCGCACGGGTCTCCGCTAGTACATATACATGGGAGATCAATTTGAGGTGGGGTCCGATAATGTCTATCTATCTATCTATCTATACATGGAAAATTAATTTAAAGATCAATTGGCAGGGACTTAACTGGGACGTTTTGGGAGTTCAAGTACTGGATTGACACGTTTTGAAATTTGAGTACCAAAGTGAGACTAGCCCCAAAGTACAAAGTACTAATTTACAATTCCCCCTTATTTTTATACACAAAAATATAAAAGTTGTTGACAAATTTGGGAACATTCTATTTCTATCATCATTGTTTTAAAGGCTTAAGTCTTGAGTGTATGCCTTAAGGAAAGGCACATCTTAAAGCCTTTGTCAAAATGAGGCGTAAGCCTCAAGCCTCAACGCAAGAGATGTAAAAAGGCATAAGCCTCAAGTATTAATGATTACTTAGTGATTTCATGCAAAAAGAATATACATTTTTATAATTTAAAACATATATAAAACAATTCAATATTTATAGGCCACATAAATAAGTAAAAAAAGAAAAATCAATAAGGCAAATTGAATTCTTTTAGTTTTTCCTATTGTTTCAAGAGAGTTCAATGCAAAAAGTGAGTAATCAAGTGAGATTTTTCTTGTTATTCTAAATGTAATGTCCCAAATTTGTTATTTTTCTCATTTCTTTTACTAATGGATCTTTTTTAACAACAACAACAACATCAAATCAACTAAGTTTTTTTTTTTTATAAATTGTTTTATTACATTAAATATAAAATATTTATAATTGTTAGTTGATTAATTATTATTTCCCTTTATTCTAGTTTATTGGTATGCGTACTTTCTATTTTTAATTTTGCATATTATATGTTATTTTCATTAATTTATAAAATTTAATTAATTTTTCCCTTAAACTTTGAGGCTTATACCTCACCATTTTGGGCCATTATGACTGAACTATGCTTTAACCTTTTAAAAACTTAACTAGCATGGCTAGTTCAAGAAGAGGAGCGCCTAACTTTTAAAGGAAATGGGTCATCATTTCAGCTTTGATTTTTTTTTTTTTTGCAAAATAATCACTCTATTTCTCTATGGGAAAAATCGTAAAGCCAAAAATTTCAGATTCAAATGGATTAAGAGAGGGAAGGTGTTAGACATCCCTCTCTCCAAGTTATTGTAATAGTCCAATATGAGAGTTGTTTAGCCTAAACTTTAAGAAAACCAACAAGAAAGATTGCTAAAAATTTCCAAAATCTTATAAAAATGCTTCCTACTTTTTTCAAAACTTGGTTTGAGGAAATACTATTAAATATTAGATATGGATTTCCCTACAACCCTAATATCTTTATCTCTTTATCCAAGTTCAAAAGAAGTTGGGAATGCAAGTTGTTATTGAAATTTTCAACCTAAAACTAGAATAAACCAAGAAACTACAAACTTAATGAACAAGAAGACAAAATGAGAGGTTTACTTCTCATATACAACCTTAACAAAGAATTATCAGCAGCTGCACTAAGTTGAAATGATGCTTAAATCAACTCTTTTGCGTAGGGTGTGCTTGTAGGCCAGAAAAATATAAAACCGTAAAAGCTTGGTATAATAATTATTAATTTCCTCTAGAACCACTCTTTAGCTTTGTCCCTTGAGGGCTGCTCGAGTTCTTTGTGCAGTAAGGTCTATTTGTAATTGTCTTTCGGAAGAGGACTGTCCCCCATTTATTATGGAGATCGTCTTCCCCAAAACAAAAACCTATAATCACTTATTCTTTTAATTTAAAATTCCACACATTTTATTTAAAAAATAAAGGGTTCTAACCAAACGGTTAAACCATTCAACCCATGATCTGCTCATCAAACTAATTCTCTATACGGTTTAAGTCCGATACATTGCTGGATGAAACCAGATCTCCTATCCATTACAACTCTACTCACGTCTACCTACAACACACTATTTACTTGCATTGAGAAATGAAAACATGTTCCCGTGTAAGAGAATGAAGTATTCCTCATGTGCGACTGCGACGTCATGTGAGCAAAATTCTTGTGGATTGGAGATCCGGACTCTTGCAGTCTTGCTGGACAGGCACCGGGACCAGGTGTACAGCGTAGAAGTGATAGTCAGTTTGCACCGATCCAAAGGATCCATCATCCATCCGCATGGTGGAAACAGATAGATTCGTTTGGCAGTGAACCGTCATTGCACCGTCTGGCAGGATCAACTCAACGGTTCCATCAACTAATTCGTATCTCGGTTCGCCGAGTTCTAAAAAGTTGCGTACACGTGATTCATGCGCGCAGAAGATACAGATTACAGAATATAAGCAATCGTAAATAGGCAAATAATTAAGGGTATTTTCGTCATTATCAAATGACACCGGATATTTCGGGAACTTGCGTCATTTTATCCTCCAAGGGGAAAATCTCTTCTCAGTCTCCCTCGTTTCTCCTTACTCCGCTTTCGGTTCTCTGTAATGGCTTCCACGAATGCTCCAACCGCTCAAATTACCAACTTACACTGTGTAAATGACCGTAGAAGCCCTACTTGTTCCTCAATATCCATCTGTGAGTATTCCTCCTTCGTTCTCTCCTGATTTATCCTGTACAGTTCTTCTTGCTGTTAGTGATCTCTTTTGCACCTACTTAGCATTTTGTATCCAATTCTAGAATTTCAGTTTCATGTTAAGCTGTTGAACACAGATATTGAGATGTCCAAGTTGAAAATAGACATTCTGTTTGGTTTCATAGATTGCGTAATTGAATTTTGATATACTGAATTATTAATGAAAATTCAATTTTCGAATGTTTGATGAAAGGTTGCTTTTTCTTCTTGTTATTTATTTTATACGGTTTTCTATCTCATTATTTCGAGCGCCCTGGATTGTTTTTGTACTTCAACTTCAACCTTACTGTTTGTCTTCAGTGAGTGAGCTGCTGTGGACATTAGCTATAATGCTTTAAATTATTTGGTGTAATTTAATTAATGATTCCGAGTTCTATTTGATGGTGCCATGCATTTGAGGTAGTTAATGAATTTATGATGATGATATTTACTAGTTCCTGGGTCCAGTTTTAGGTGGTGTTAATTTCGAGTTCTTAGATCGTTTAGATAAATAATATAATCACTAAAAGAGAATATGAGAAGTTTTGAGCAGCATTGTTTCATAAACGCTGCAGCTATAAATGTACAAGACATTTGACCACGAAGATCATGTAGAATTCCGCGGAGCCATATTTTGATTAATTTGATTCCAGAGTATCATTCGTAGATTTTGTTCTTGTGAAGGTGTACGAGACACAGCTTCTCTCCTAGAAATAAGGCCATGAGCATGTGTGTGCATGCATCTGCTTAGTGTTCATGATGTTGTCCGGTCAGTAATAGTATATGCAATAATTAGGGAAGACAATTTCCTATGCGTGAACCTTACATTATCCAGTTAATTCAGCCCTTTATTGTTTGTTGAGGATACGCAAGCAAGCCATATGTAAAATTTCAAGGAGAAACTGAAGCCACTGAGTTTTCTGCTCTACCAAAAGATATTTGTGGGTTCTTTTCATAAGGAGTTTCATCACTTCTATGTGGGCTTTGAAATTTGTTGGGATGCTGTTAGGGTGGTTGGGAAAGGAAGGTGATCTTCAGGATCAAAAAATGAAGGTGATCTTGTTTCCTTTTGTCCTTTACTGTATGGAGATGGAAAATTTAAATCTTGCTGTCTAATAGAGATTTAATTAGTAACAAGAAATGCAACCAAAATTTCATTTTGCATTTTGAGCCTAATAATTGGAAAGTGTTGAGAAAATAGTTGGAGCTTGGTGGTGAGACACAGATGTTTTGTTTCCTATTCAAGTTGCTCATTGACAGTGTGGGGGGAGATTCTTAAAATCCTATTGAATGGGCCAACATTTTGAAAGAGGATCTATTTTATTTGCAGATTCCATAACAGGATTTTAGATATTTGTGAAGTTGGTCCATCGAAGTTACAGATTATATGGTCTTAATGATCTCATTTGATGCTTTCATTACTTGAGAATAAGATGATTGGTAATGTGATGTTTCATCAAGATGTAGTTTGGATTTGGAGTAGTTGTGGTTTTCTTCTCTTTTTAGATAGCTCCCTTCTTATTATTGACAATATTTAGGATGCTTCTGAGTTTTAATGCTATGCATGACAACTATTTGAAAGTTTGGGAAATGAGTAGAATGAGGTAATGTATAAATATATTTTCAAAGTATCTGATGATCCATTGGGATGCATGGTAGGCATGATAAGATATGATTTTGAGAAGATTCATGGTCTTAGGCTTCACCTACAGGCCTAGATTTTTCAGTTCTCTATGTGACAAAAGATAAGAGGACTCTGATGAAGATTTGTTTTAGTGGGGATTGACTCAAGCATGACTCACACAACCTAGAAGAAACCTAAATGGTTGAGTGACTGAATCAATTTTTTTTTTCAAATGATTCAATGGAGCGAGCTTTCTAGTGGATTCATTTATGTGCTAAAGATATGAGTGGTTTAATAGCATTGGGGAGAAGGATAAAGTGGATCCTAATGAATGTCTCTTGTCAAATACTGCTATATTTTTCTGAGGGTTTCCCCTGATGTGTCTTTTCCTTGGTGGGGAATTTGGTGGCTCATTCTTCATGTGGACTGCAGTTTTGACAAGATTTGAACAATCAATCACATGATATCACAAGATTTGAACAATCAATCACATGATATCACAAGATTTGAACAGGTACATACTGTGTAGAAGGATAGATGTATCAGTTTCTCACTTTTTATCCTTTATCCCATGCCATATAAGGTCTAGTCATATTTCATTGTTCCCCAAGGGGGTTTATTGTTAGAGGCTGAATTCTGTGGAACCCTGCACCATTTTATATCTGCTGGGACCTTCAAAGGAGCACAATCGCCATGTGATTAACAGAGTATCCTGCTCAATACTGGTGCTGATTGTGAAGATCAGATGTCAATTAGTATTTTTCTGTGTCCACCTTAAATGACTTCCATGGTCTGAGATATGAACACTTTTGTGGACAGTGAGATTCAATCATTTCAATTTTTAAATGCTTCTTTTGATATAAAGAGGACTATACATGATAGCTTTTTACATGATTGCTTACTCATTAGCCATGTAAAGTCCATTTATACAGGACTAGGGCCTCTTTTAAATACTTAATGCAATGTACTATAATTATAAAAGAGAAGTGGTTGGGCAGTTTCTCATCTAGGACTTCTGCAGAGGAAGATCAAGTTTTATTTAAAGCAGCATTGGCTGTGGTGGCATGGATCATAATATGCTTCATATTCATCTCTTGTAGAAATGGAATTAAAAGGCTCTACTCTTCTTCTTTTTATTTTGGTAGGTCTGTTTTATTTTGTTATACCCAGATAACTGCATTCTTTGTGTAGCTTTCACCTATAAAGCTGCTGCTGTGTCTGGGCATATGCAGGTAGAATTTAACCCTTTTAATGTTATACAGAATCCTAGGAATATCCTCATTGGTTTATGATAGAATACAGAAGGTAGGCATCCTCCAAGGTTTGCAATATCCCCAGAATATGCCAATATTATCCATGAAATTTCCCATTTTAGGGGGTTCCAAAATATGTACAGTGGAACTTTTATAACTTTTATAACTAAATAAATTGCTAAGCTATTTGGAATCTTTCAAAATCTCAGGATTTACATTTTTTTGGCAAGTCATGAAAGATTTTATTAATAGCAAAAAAGAAGTTTCAGTGACAACTTTCAAGCAGAGTCGCGAGGTGCAGCCCCCATTACATAATCAAAATTACACTTGAGCCCCAAACAATTCAGACTTATACACCCTCTGTTTTGTAAAACATAATCAGCTAACCCTTTTGCTGACCTCCTTTCCCATTGAACAATAATTGTCATATCTCTAATTAGCCATTTAAATATTTTCATAGAATCCCTATATTTTCAGACCACTGTTTCTGGTTCCTTCAGCCACCTAGTACCAGCTTAGAATCACCCTCAATTACCAACCTGCCAAAGTTCAAGTATCTAGCAATTTGTACTCCTCACAAGACTGGTTTGAGTTCAGCACACACTGAATCCCCTTCTCCAACAGGGCCTGAAAAGACAGCAAGAATGTGCCCACCAGAATTTTTAAAGACTCCTCCAATACCATCCAGCCCTTGATTTTCAAAACAGCTTCCATCAAAATTTAATTTAATAAAACCATCTCCTGGGGGAGTCCAGATTGCAATTGGTTTATCCTTCCTAACAGAACTTCTTGCTACAGCTTCCCAATTTACATTATTAGCATACCATACTTTGGTGGGAACTAGAGATATACTGACCAGAAGCACATTTACATGATTATTATTTTACATGTGATGAATCCTACCTGTATCATAAGTAAGTTGTTCCTTAATCTTGTGATACTTGTTTTATATGGTTGTTTTTCATAGTATCATATATATATATATATATATATATATGTATTGGTATTAACTGTGTATTTTAAAAGCTTATAGCCTTACTGCAAGAAATTAATTCTCTTCAATGTTTCATCAAACTGAACAAGTTTATGCCATTCAATAATTTTTGCAAAGTTTCCTGTAAAATTTCTTATTTTTGAAGGTTCAAAGTTTTTTTTTTCCTCCAAAATTGATATTGCAAACATTGGTTATGATGTCCAGTGAAACTATAGTGATGTAAAGAAACTACATGTGAACTAAGCTATCGCAATATGAAATAAGTTGTCCTTTCTTCATGTCATGCAGCAAAAGAAAGAAAGATAGAATCTTTATGACATGGAATTTTCTCCAATTAACCAACCTCATATAATTAGACAAGGATTAATTTAGTTGAGCTGAGAATGTTATTTTTTCCAGTTGGTTGTTGGCTTCTGACTTAGTTCAAAAAGATCTTATTATGGGTTTTATGCATCTATCTGACCTTTTTTTAATCTTTATTGCAATTTATCTTCTTGTGCTGATTTCCAGGCAACAAGCTAAAGTCAAGCACAATTCCAGTTGGTCTACCAAGTTTGTCTTGGCCTAGAAGGAGATCTGGGCATACACAGAAATCTATACATGTTTATAGTTTATTTGGTGGAAAAAAGGAAAATAATGAGAAGAATGAAGACACTCCATCAAAGGTGAGCTCAGATACCTTCTTGTCTCGATGGAATGTTCAATAGAATTTGGAATGATTTCATCTCTTAAAATTAATATGATATTACTTTTATGATTATATGGAGACCTTCCGTTCTAATTCATATTTCTTTCATTAACAAATATAAAGTCTTGACACATTTATTCATTTCAATAAATACATCTTAAACCCTTACTTTCAACCTCTTTCTCTCTCTCTCTCAAATACACATAAACACATTCATTTATGCAAGAGAAACTTGTATTGTTTGTTAACAATCCAAACATGATAAAACAAAAAACATTAGGTAAAATTTGTGTGCATTATATGAAAATTGCTGAATCATAACTCAAACATAAATGGACCAATGATAAAGCAACATGTCACAATGAAATCTTTAATGTTGTTAAAGTCTTTCATGATAAATATGCCTTGTGAAACGTGAACCAATGAAAAGAGGCTAAGGAACCTTCTACAGGAGATAGAATACAATGTTAACACTCCAATGAAGCTCTACTATGACAATCAGGCTGTAGTTCATATTTCTTCTAATCCGGTGTTTCATGAAAGAACCAAACACATAGAGGTTGACTGTCACTTTGTGAAAGAGAATGTGCTGAGTGGAGTGATAGACACTGCATATGTTAACACAGGGAACCAGTGGGCAAACTTATTTACTAAAGGGTTGAGTCGGGGAAGAGTGGACTACATATGTAACAAGCTGGGATTATATGATATATACTCATCAGCTTGAGGGGGAGTGTTAGTGTCGAGTATGTAGGGGTATTTCTGTCTTTATACTTATGTTGAGGTTGCTGATGTGTAATATTATGTTATAACTAGTGTCTCACACTTAAGTAGGGGCACATGTGTCTTTTCCATTATGTTAGTAATATAAAACATATCTGGCCGAATGGGAGAGGTAATTTTTTCTCTCATTTGAACCAGACTTTTCTTCTCTCCTTTTCTCCTCCTTTCTCTCTCTCTTTCTTTCTTCTTTCTTCTTCTTCTTTCTTCTTTGCTGTTATTAGACTAATAGAACTCAAGGGCAGGCCGAATCATAATAAACAAGACTATTAATTATGAACAGACCCATTCAATTGGGCTCTCAAGTGATTAATGGGCCCAACAATGATGCTGTAAATAGGCCAGCACTTAATCATGGGCTTGCTACAATAGTGAATGGATCCCACAATCTTTGACAGTGGATGGGACCCACTATAGGTTTAAACCTTTGTTTAACAGTGGGTATTGCCCACTAATCAGAGCATTAGAATATGGGTTACAAATCAGGGGTGTTACAATTTATTTTATCAGTGGGCCCCATTGATTAGATCATTGAATTATATTTTTGACAGTGGATGGGACCCACTATAGGGTAAATTTTGATTTAACAGCGTGTATGGCCCACTGATCCAACCATTAGAATATGGGTTACAAATCAGGAGTGTTAAAGTTTGTTTTAATAGTAGGCCCGCTGATTAGATCATTGATTTCTGTTTTTGATAGTGGATGGGACCCACTATAAGGTAGATTTTGGTTTAACAGTGGGTATGGCCAACTGATCAGTTCATTAGAATATGGGTTACAAATCAGGAGTGTTAAAGATTGTTTTAACAGTGGGCCCCACTGATTAGATCATTGAAGTTTGTTTTTGACAGTGGATGGGACCCACCAAATCAGTATGATTAAAATTTATTTTATTCGGTAAACTCGAAGCTGGTAGGCTTAGGAAAATTCCTGGGAGTCTGAATTGTAGGCTTGGAGGAAGAAACAGTAAGATATTTGGAAAATATGGAGAAAAGATGGCTAGAAGAGAAGGAAAAATCAAAAGGAGAGAAAGGGAATCAGGGAGGGAAGAAAAACAGAGAAATGTTGTGTCTTCCCTGGAGTTTAAATGATAAAGCAGGGAAGGGGGAGGGGTCATCTAGGGGTGGAGGGGGAAAAAGCTGTAAGGTTCAGGGGCTGGGGGTTTTCCATTTTGTTTTCAGATGGATCTGAAAGTACTTTCGTGGAATGTTAGGAGTCTGGTCAGGCAGGAAAAGGTTGGTGATCTACAATTTGCTTAGAAGGTGGGAGTCAGATATAGTGTTCTTTCATGCAATAAAACTGGAGGAGGTAGATGCAGGTCTAATCAGACGTGTTTGGGGTCAAGGCCAAGTGAGGTGGGTGACTAAATCAGCCAGAGGGACAGCAAGGGGTCTATTAATTCTCTGGAATTCTTCAAAATGCAAACTGGTCTCTTCTCAGGCTGGGGATTTCTCAATCTCAGTGATTTTGGAGTTTGAGTTCAGGGTTAGTTTACAAATGTCTATGGTCCAACTATAAACTCAGAGAAAGAGAGATTGTGGGAGGACTTGGCGGCAGCTAGAGGTGGGACCGCTTTACCATGGGTGATTGGAGGGGACTTTAATGTTGTAAGATTTTTGAAGGATAAGAAGGGAGGAACTCGTAGATCAAGGGACATGAGGAGATTTGCAGATTTTGTCAATCAATTTGAACTCCTTGATCTCCCACTTGTAGGGGCCCAATAAACAATCAGGATAATCCAGTTCTGGAAAAGTTGGACAGATTCTTGGTCTTTCCTGGATGAGAGGATTCTTTTCAAACTCTAAAACAGGTTGCTCTCCCTAGGCCGGTTTCTGATCACTCTGCTATTCAGCTTGTGTGTGGAATTCAGAGGACAAGGAAAGTTCCTTTCAAGTTTGAAAATGCATGGTTTGAAGAAGAGGGGCTGATCTATCTACTTTCTTCCAAGTGGTCAGAAGTTCAACTTGATGGAACAAGCTCTTTCATTTTTGCAAAAAAAAAAAAAAAAAAAATCTCAGCCTCATTAAGGATTATCTGAAACTCTGGAAACAGGAATCCAAAGGTGGTGTGGAGCTCGAAAAGAGGTTGTGTCTAGAAGCTATCAAGGAAGTTGATTTGGCTGAAGAGTGGAGTCCTTTGTCAGAAGTGGGTAAAAGAAAGAGGGCAGAAGCTAAACTGAAGTTAGACAGACTAGCCTATGAAGATAAGCTGAAATGGAGACAAAGAGCTAAAGTTAAATGGTTCAAAACAGGAGACAAATTCTAGTTTCTTCCACAAGATGGAAAACACAAGGCAAAGGTTCAATCAGCTGGAGAGGTTGGAATTAGATGGTGAGGTGGGAGAAACTTGAACAGACATGAAAAACATTGCCACAAGGTATTTTTCAGATTTGTTCAAAGAAAACTAGAAAAGAAGACCCCTCCCAGTCAATCTGGCTTTCAAAAGGCTTTTAAAGGAGCAACAAAGGGAGCTAGAAGCTCCTTTCTCAGAGGAGGAAGTGTGGCAAGTGATTGAAAATATGGAAATAGATAAATCACCAAGGTCGGATGGTTTAACTAACTTATTCTACAAGAAATGATGGGAGGTGGTGAAGGGTGATTTGATGAAGGTTTTTCAGGACTTTCATTACAATGTTGCTCTGGAGAGAAGTCTGAATGCAACCTTCATCTCTCTAATACCCAAGGTAGAGGGTGCAACAAATGTCAAGGACTTTCAGCCAATTAGTTTATTGAACAGTTGCTTTCAGATCTTGGCCAAGGTCCTAGCTGAAAGACTTAAAGAAAGTTCTTGATTCAGTAATTTCAAAAAATCAGTTTGCTTTTGTGCCTGACAGGCAAATGCTAGACAATGTTCTGGTGGCTAACGAACTGATAGATTCAAGGAAGAGGGAGGGCAGGCCAGGGTTGTTATGTAAGCTAGACTTGGAGCAGTAGCACACATGACTGCATCCATCCAAAACCATTTTGGCACATTCATATGAATTAATAAGCCACGAGCTACTTCGAGAAGGTGGCGGTTCTTCCGTTCAGCCACACCATTTTGTTGGGGTGTCCTGGCACAAGAGCTTCGCTGAAGTGACCCACTCGAAGCAAAAAACTCCGTGAGATCACTATGGAAATATTCCTTCGAATTGTCCGACTGGAAGATATGGATTTCCGTTTGGAACTGAGTGAACACCATGCATTGAAAATCTTTCACAATTTTTGGCACTTCATCTCGAGATCGCATAGGGTAAACCCAAGTGTATCTAGAATAATCATCAATCAAGGTAATGAAGTACTTATAGCCAGCCTCAGTAAGTAGAGTAACAGGGCCCCAAACATCAGAATAAACAATATGAAATGGAAATTCAGATCTTTTATTTCGCAAAGGTAAAGAAATTCTACAATGCTTACTCAATTGACAAGTCTGACACTGTAACTGACTCACTGACAAGGACTCAAACAACTTTGGAAACATAACTTTTAATGACTCAAAAGAAAGATGACCTAGATGACTCTGCCATAAATAGGCTTGACTCTCA